TTTTGTAGCCCACAACTCTTAATTAATATCTTTGCTGACTCACTAGAATTTTCCAAGTATACAATCATATCATCAGCAAATATATAGTTTTATTTCTTCTTTATCTATATTTATGCTTTATTAGTACTATTTCTATATTTTGCTATCTATTGCTTTAAAGTCATCTATTTCATTAAATGTCCATTTTCCTTCTTGAAGCATTATACTCAGTTTTGCTGGGTAGGTGATTTTTTGTTGTAATCCTAGCTCCTTTGTTTCTGTAATATCATATTTCAAGCCCTCTGCTCCTTTAATGTGGAAGTTGCTAAATCATGTCTTATTTTGACTGTGGCTCCGTGATATTTGAATTGTTTCTTTCTAGCTCCTTGCAATGTTTTCTCCTTGACATGGGAGCTCTGGAATTGGGCTATAATATTCCTGGAAGTCTTCATCTTGAGATCTCTTTCTGGACATGATCAGTGGATTCTTCCTATTTCTATTTTATCCTTTCAATCTAAGATATCAAAGCAGTTTTTCTTAATAATTTCTTGAAACATGATGTCTAAGTTTTAGGTAGTTTGATAATTCTTAAATTATCTCTTCTTGATCTGTCTTCCAAGTCAGTTGTTTTTCTGATATTTCACATTTTCTTCTATTTTTTCATTCTTTTGACTTTGTTTTATTGTTTGTTGATGTTTCATAGGGGCATTAGCATCTATTTGCCCAAATCTATTTTTAAGAAATTACTTTCTTCAGTGAAATTTTGTATCTTTTCCCACTTGGCCAATTTCGCTTTTTAAGGAGGTCTTTTCTTCGTGAATTTTTGTACCTCTTTTCCCATTTGGCCTATTCTATTTTTAAGGTCTTATTTTCTTCAGTATTTTTTGTGCCTCTTTTACCAAGCTCTTAATTTTCTTTTCATATTTTCTTAGATCACCCTCATTTCTTTTCCTAATTTTTCCATTCTTGTTTCTTTCTATAATGTTTCCAGGAATTCTTGTTGGGCTTGTGTCCAATTAGTATTTTTCTTTGAAGCTTTGATTGTAGCTGTTTTTACATTGTTGTCCTCCTCTGAGTTTGTGTTTTCAACTTTGATGCTACTGCAGTAGCTTTTCACATTTATATTCTTTTTTTTTGTTTGCTCACTTCCCCAGCCTATTTCTTGACTCTGAACTTTATGTTCAAGTTGAGCTCTGCTAACCTTGGGTTGGAGAACCACTGTCCCAAGCTTTAGGCTTTCTTTGTGCTACTGTTTTCACAGCCAGTTCTGGGGGTCTGCAAGTTTTCAGTGTTTCCAAGGTGGTATGATTCAGGGAGAGGTGTCGTCACTGTTCTCCTGGTATATGCTCTGGTCTTTACCCAGGAAGGGCCTCTGCTCCCTTTCAGCTGCAAGCATTAGTGCTCCTCTTAGCCTTGGAACTGTGACCAAGATCCCTGCTCTCCAGCAGCCACTAGTGCTATTACTCCTCCCAGCCTTGGAACTGTGACTAGAGCCCCTGCCCCCATATAATCAACCCACAAGCACTGCTCTGCCCTGGAACTGTGTATGGGCAATGGAGCTGCCAATAAGTACCAGCTTCACCCAATACCATTAAAGTGACACCTGTAAGCCCTTTGTGACCAGTTGTCTTACTCTCTCTGGGCTGAGAGCTACTAAAGTTGCTGCTGCCTCCATTGCAACAACCTCCAAAGCCTACTGCTAGTGCCTCTGCATGCACTCTAGGCCAGCCCCCACCCCACCATCACAGACCCCTCCTGCTGACTTCCCAAGTCGCCATAGACTAGAAAAATGTCTCACCCTGACCTTTTGTTGATTCTGCCACTCCACAGTTCTATTAAGGATTATATTAAAGTTATTTGGAGGCAAATATTGGGAGAGTTGGCTCTAATCTGCCATTTTGGCTCTGCCTCTTTATGCTTTTAATTTCCTTCTCTTGGCTCATTGCTATTGCTAGCATTTCTAGAACGATATCAAATAACAGTGGGGACAGTAGGTGCCCTTGCTTACTCTTTTATTTATTGAAAAAGGTTCTAGTGTATCCCCATTGCATAAGATGCTTGGTTTTTGTTTTAAATAGATGCTTTCTGCCCCATTCTGTCTACACTTTGTTGGGTTTTTGGTATAAATGAATGTTGCATTTTGTCAAAAGTTTTTTTCCACAACTATTAAGATATAATCCTTTATGGTTTTGGATGTTTTGTTTTTTTTAATATGATTAATTATATTTATCCTTTTTCTAGTGTTGAATCATCCATCCATTGTTGGTATTAGTCCTAATTGGTCATAATGAATGATTTCTTAGATAAATCCCTGTAGTCTATTTAAAAGGTTGTTGTTTAAAATTTTAAATTTATATTAATTAATAACATTGGTCTACAGTTTTTCTTCTGCATTTTATCTTTCTCTAGTTTAGGTGTTAGGACTACATTTGCTTCATAAAAGGATTCTAGTAGAATCCTTTCTTTTTCAATTTTTGAGAATAATTTATGTAATATCAGTAGTACTTGTATTTTAAATGTTTGATAGAATTCTCATGTCAATCCATCAGGACCAGGAATTTTTTTCCCTTTGGTAGTTCCTGCTGACCTCATGGAGCCTTCAATTATGATCACAGGATGTTTCAGTATTTATCCTAGTTTCACTCACTCACTGAACAGACCTCCATAGCAGTAACTTCCTACCAGAAGACCAAGATCCATTCAAGGTTGTTAGTAGTGGGACTACTTAATTCATAGGGCTGTTGTAAAGTTCAAACAAGATAATGAATGTGAATTAGCAGGCAGGGCTTGTTAGGAAATCTATGGTCATTCACTTTACAGCTGGAAGAGACCTTAGAAATCATTTAGTTAAGTCCCCTGATTATAGTGATGAGGAAACTGGGGCTTAGAGTGGGTAAGTGATTTGTATCATATAGATAGTATCAGAATTTGGATTTACCTTCATGTCTCCTGATTTCAAAGTCTAGGCTTGTGATGGCTAAAAGTTGGATAATAAAAAAATGGCTAATGGGTCCATAGCTGAACAAACCCTTTCCCTCCTATCCCCCACTCCCGACCCATTAAATTAGAAACTGAATTTCTTTACCCACAGGTTTAGTTTCCACCAAGGTCAGTTGGATTTCAAAATATTTTCAGTTGAGCAATTGATTTTTACCAGTATGAAAATCCACTTATTCTGGGACTAGGATCCTCTGCCCCATCTTTCTAGCCTATGGGCAATGGGCACATGGCCTGATGGAAGCCATCCTGCTCCGGGGATATAGGACTGAGGTGCTTGGGTTTCCATAATGAACATTTGGGATGTTACCTAGTCCCATCACTTTAGAGAAGACATTCAGAAATTTATTTGAAGCATAAATTGCCCATTGATGCAAACAGAATCTGGAATTGGTCTTGGAGGTGATCTAGCTCCCTTTAACCAATCCCTTCATTTTATAGATGAAAAAAAAAACAGGTGCTGAGAGGACAATGTTATGCACTAAATTATTGGCGTAATGTATTCTCTTCTTAAGAAGTTTTATTAATGTCTTTTGTTTATACACCAGTCATTTCTGCAATGTAAACATGCTCCCCCTTTCCCCCAGCCTTTCTTTGCAACAAAGAAAAACAATAAAGCAAAACCCATCAGTATATTGACTGCATGCAACAGAACTTGGCACTTTCTATACCATGGTCCCAGCCTCTCCAGTGGAAGGAGGGAGGTACATTTCCTTCTCTCTTCCGTGAGACCAAAATTGGTCACTATAATTATGCCATCTTTGACTTCATTTTGTTCTTTTCATTTACATCATTATAAGCATTTGTGCACATTCCTTTCCTCATTCTGCTTACTTCATTCTGCATCAATTTTTACATCTTCTCATGTTTTTCTGAATTCTTGATATTCATCATTTCTTATTCATAATGATAGTCTTTGTGGCATGCATCCGCGCTAAGATATAATTGGATAGGATGCCTTAGATACAGTTTACATCTCTTTTCAGGTGAGTATCTTTGCTTTGTTGGGTAGGAAGGCTTGTGGTACCATTCATCATTAAATGCTCCCATACTCTAGGAAGGGTTTATAATTTGTAGATCTTTTTGGAGGGAAGGTTGAGGAGGGTGTATAGACAGAGATTTATTGGAACTTGGTTGATAACAGTACATACAGACATGTTGTCCTTCCTTTGGCCTATGAAGGGCTTAACTACATTCATTCAGAAAATGAAAGAAGTCATTTTCATCTTCACTACAAAACAGTTTCCTTTACTTCACATGGTTCCTGTATCTTTCCATGGGGCTTTGAAATGCAACGACTTTTGAGTTCTACTAAAAACCCTATTACAAAGCCTCTAGTAGAGGACCTTCTCTTCAATATGAAAATTTTTGGTAAAGGCTGGTTTACTAAGGCTTGCCACTTTACTAAAGGGGCTAACTATTGCCCCTCCATCTTGGCTTCAACACATACTACCTATGTGGTGTTGGGCAAGTCATTTTGTTTCTGTAAAGCCCAGTTTCCTCTCTTACAAAGTAGGAAAAAGAATACATGCATCATCATCTATCTCACAGGAGTGCTATGAGGAAAGTGCTCTGTATATGTTGAAGTACTTATTTCCCTATTCAATAACCTTCTGAAATCAGAGCAGATGGATGCCCAGGATGCCCTGCTGTTAGTTAGAATTTCAGGGAGTTCTGGTTGCTGCTTTTTCTTCATTCTGGTGTCTTAAAAGTGCATTTAACCCCATAAATCTTTGGGTGAAATACAACATCTTCCAGCCCCACCCCAACATTTGGAGTAGTGTTATCTAACCTAATCTATTTTCTGACAGTCCTCTCTGTGCTTCCTAAGGCACTTGCATTGGGTCATGATCTACAGAGATATTCCATATTTACAATGAATGTAGAATACAAAAAAGCTGTATAAAAACATTGATTTCCTTTCCTCTCCCAAGGGAGACCTACAAAAGGGCCAAGGTTTGTGCCTGTGCCCAGAAGTAAGGAAGCCAGAGTCTTTTCCATTGGGAGTCAGAGAGAGAGTGAAAAGGAAAGCAGCCCATCAGGTCCGTCCAGTCACTGAGGATCCATCACGACCCTCCGGAGAATGTTCTTCACCTCTTAATGTAAGTGTGGTTTGTTCTTGTCCTCAGTTTCCTGCTTGACCTCCAGCTGCAGTTGGGGTGTGTGTCACAGATGTGTACCTAAGCCTTTTCAAGGTTAATACCATTCTCATTTCATGTTGGTTCTCTAGAAAGAGTGTGGGCTTGGGAGTTAGAGATCTGAAGTTGGAGTGTCAGTCTTGTTACTTAAGTGACTTCAGGCAAGTCACTTAAATCTTCTGGACCTTAGTACCATGAAACATGGATTTTGGACTAGATGTTCTCAAAGGTTCTTTTTAGCTCCTTATGGCCATCTCTCCCAACTTTAAATCCTGTGATACTCATACCCCCTCCCATTTCTCACCATCTTTTCCTGGCGTATGTGATGTATGTATGTAACAGACATCTAATGGGAAGGCAGTCGATCTGTTGGAATTGGAAAAAATGATAGTAAAAATAATTCGTCTTTGTGAATACCACCCCTTCTTTCTTCTCTTCTTTGCCTTCCCTACCTCCCAATCTTTAGGATTCTTCATTAGCTCTAGACTAGCCTTGGTGCTGAAAGGCTAGATTGGGGTAACCTTAGGGGCTTTAAAAGGCCTATAGAGAGGTAGCCTCTTGCTGGAAATTAGGATGATTCCTAGGATGCTTTGGAGCAGCAATATGGAATAGTACATTTGGAGTCATGAATACCTGAATTTGAATCCTGCCTCAGGGCTAGGCATCTAACTCTTTCAGCTTCAGTTTCCTCATCTATAAAATAGTATAACTGAATCCCAGCTCAGTCACTGATTATTTTTCTACCTCACTATTTACTGACCTCAAGCAAATCTTCTCTCCTCTGTGACTCAGTTTTCTCATTTGTAAAATGAGCAGCTACCTCATAGGGCTGTTGTTATAAGGAACAAATGAAATAAATATGTAAAGCATTTTGCAAACATTGAAGTGCGATATAAATGCTATTGTGGTGGTGTTGTTGTTTTTCTTGTTGGTGTTCATTTGTAAATCTAGAGCGGCTCTTGCTTGAGCTGGGGACTTCATCACATTTGACCCACAGCTGATCCAAATTCCATTGTTCTAGGCAGGTTCTGACTGTTCAGGAGTCTCAAGATTCAGGGTGATCCTAGAACTAGACTTAACCTAGACAATCTTGTGCTCCCTTGGTTTGGGCCGCCCCATACTTAGAGGATTGATTCCTCTGGTGTACATTGATTTCAGCCTTCTTCCAGCTTAGTTGGGAAGGCAGATTAAAGAAATTATATGATCCTACAACTTGTATAAAGAATTCTTCACATGTGAAGAACTTTCTTCTCCATACAACTAGGTTTTAAGCTCATTGAGGGTCTGGACCATATCTTTTGGTTCTTTTTTTGTCTCTCTCACAGTGCCTAGGACTGAGCTTATAGAAATAATGCATGATTGATAAATCTGTAATGAATGGATGCTGGAATTGTAGCAGCTCACGTTTATATAATGCTTGACAGTTTACAAAACATTGTCCTCCCAGCTACCCTGCGAAGGCATTAGTCCCATTTTATAGATGAGGAAATTGAGGCTTAGTGATATGGAGGTACTTGGTTTAGGGTCACATAGCTAGTGCTCGGCAGAATTAGAATTCAAACTCAGGTTTTTGGATTAATGCTCAATCCACCCAACCACATGGCCTTCCTTTGGGGTGGGGTGTGTGTGTGTGTGTGTGTGTGTGTGTGTGTGTGTGTGTGTGTGTGTGTGTGTGTAGGGGGAGTCACATTCCTCTCCACTTACTATTTTGAAAAACTCCCATTACATCTCCTCCTGGTGATTATTAATAGTGAAATGTCTGGCAGTGCCTTATGGTTGTGAATGATTTGTAGGGATATTTTGTATGTTTTTGGTTCCCTAGTGCTGAGGACCAAGCAGGGCCTTAGTCCTGGCCTTTCATAGTGTACATTTCACATATTAATAATTCATAGCTGTTTAACCACTGACCAAAAGCTACTGCAGGGTTTCTCTATTACAGTTGGATTCTTCAAACATTATTTGTCCATGAATCACTCTGCTTTACCTTTCAAAGATAGTCTTTGCAGTCCTTTCTCCCCCTCCCCCCTCCCCCAGTATGGCCAGTTACAAAAGTGAATCAGTTGTTGTTGTTTGTTTTAAAAATAAACATAAAACCATATTTTTCTTAGAGAAGCAGTAGGGGGAGGGGTTAGTGGGTAGAATGCTAGACTCAGGATCAGGAAGACTGGATTTCCAATCTGGCCCCAAAATTTACTAGCTTTTTGAAGGTAACCAAGTTGCTTAATCTCTCTGTGATCCTTAAGCAGCTCTAGAAAACTATGTTATACATGTGTGGCTATCCACACTGGCAAAGAGAGTTCCTAAACCAAGACGTGTACTTTTTAAAAAAGAATTAACACAATTTAAGTCTGTGCCTTAGAGTGACAGAGCAACAGGTCACATCATAGATCTCACCCAAGATTCCCCTTTATTTGAGGTTGGACCAAGATCAAACTTTGGCTTTAGAGAATAAATCCACTAGATTCTCATCTTCAGTCATTTTGAGGCTAAGGTTTATTTGCCTTGGCGTTCTTAGTTTTTATTATCGTAGGATCATAAGATTGTGGAACAAGAAAAGACTTTAAATATCATCCAGGTCGACCATTTCATTTTACAAATGAGAAAACTGAGTCACAGAGGGGAGAAATAATTGGCTTGGGGTCAGTAAATAGTAAGGTAGAAAGATAATAAGTGACTGAGCTGGGATTCAGATCTGTTCACTCGGTGTGGATATTGAAGCTTGCATGGGGTAGCATAAAATGAAGGACTGAACCAGAGCATGGGGCCAATGTTTATAAAACTGGGCAGAAAAGTCTCAGTGAACTCTTCTTCTCCCTTCTCTCTTTAGTCTCTCTTCCTATTGCTCACTCTCAAAATGGCTCTTGCAAAATTATTGGAGGTCTCAGAGGAGCACCACTGTTAATCTTAATTAGTCCTTTAAAAGGAAAAGATTGTATTCAACTGTAAATCAGTTATCTTTCATTTATCGAGAGCTGTCTTCTTAAAAGCTAGGAAAAGATTGTATTCAACTGTAAATCAGTTATCTTTCATTTATCGAGAGCTGTCTTCTTAAAAGCTAGTAGTGAGCAGCCTAGAAATGCTCTCTTTCCCATGAAAGGGCTTTAAGAGGTTTTTGGATTTGATTTTTGGTTTTGAAGCTTCTGGCAGGGAATATAAAACAAGCTTGGCCTGGGGTGGTGACAGCCTTGTATGTTTTGACAACCTTAGGGGATGTTGGAATTGTAACCAATTATTGGGGACAGAGATATGATTCTCTGTTCCTTGCAAAATGAGCTATGATGGAGATGATAATGAGACATTGTGATCAAACTGCTGAACAAGCCCCAGCATCAGAGATTTTGGAACTTCTACTGGCTAGGTTATTGTTTAGAGCAGACAAGATCAGAATCTAGAACCCACTATTCAGAGAACAGAGGGTTACTGTGGGTGTATTGTTACAGTTAGAAAGAAGGAATAGAACAGAGATTGAGTGAAGGAGAGATAGATGGAGTTCCAATAAATACTGGGAATAATAAATAAGTGAAATTCTGCAAAATAGTTGTTAAGGATAGATGAGCACTCTTGTTAAATGTGACAGACCAGGTCAGATGATTCATGATTCAATGAGTGGTGTAGTGGATAGAACACTGGGCTTGGAATCAGGAAGGCTTATTGTTCATGAGTTTAAATCTGGCCTCAGACACTTACTAGCCATGTGACCCTGGGCAAATCACTTCACCCTGTTTGCCTCACTTTCCTCATCTGTAAAATGAGCTGGAGAAGGAAATGGCAAACCACTCTGGTATCTTTGCCAAGAAAACCCCAAATGGGGTGAAGAGTCAGACATGACTGAACAACGACAACAAGAAGAAGGGTGGGGTGAAGCATCTTCAGTCAGAATACAGTTTTAGTTGACGTCACTGATAAGCTGGAGCAGGTCCAAAGGACATAGATCAGCATGGTGAAAGGCCTTGAGTTCATGTCATATGAGGATCAGTTCAGTGAAAAGAGAATGTTTAGCCTGGAAATGAAAAGATCTGTAGCATGGGTCGTCGAGGTTTGGGGCTGGGGCAGGAAGGGGAGACACATGATGATCATAGCTCTCTTCAAATATTTTAAGGCCTATCATGGGGAAATAGGAGTACACTTGTTTTGTTTGGTCTTAGAGAGCAGAGCTAGGTATGATGAGAAATTGAAAAGATGTATATTTAAACCTATTAGGAAAACAACTTCCTAACATTTAGAAAGGTCTGTCCTGGTCATGGTTCCACTCAAAGCCTGAGGGTTAGGATAGGAAATTTCATTAATAAAAGCATATTCAGTAAGCCCAGGTAAAAGCAATCTACATGGCAGAAAGGCTGTTCACAAGGTAATTCCCATGTGCCTCAGGAGAGCCCAACCAGAATCCTAGAAGTGTCGCTATATTATACTTCTTGCTCAAATCCACTTGGGGATTAAAAATTAACTCAAACTGCCCCAGCAGCAGCCTGGTGTACAGCAGCCTGGATTGTAAAGTGGGGCTATGGGGGCTAACTTAAGCCACTCCAATTCTACTAGTATCCTGGTCTACAACACTATCAAAAAATGAAATGGATGGCTTCAAGAGGTGGTGGAATACCTTCACTAAAGGTCTTCAACAGAGAATGGATGACCACTTGTTGGAGATGTTCTAGTGGGGGTTCCTTTGTATGTGAGGCCGGCTAGATGGTGGCTGAGGCCCCTTCCAGCTATCAAACTCTGTTATTTTGTGATTTGTCTAGAAAATTCTCCTGCAGTCATGATGAAAAACATGCACGAGAGATGCCAAAGAGGGAATAGAGTAGGACAGTTTATCAGGTTCAAGCCAGTGTATTTCATTGAGAATCAATTTATATGGCCTGTGAGGTAGAATACAGGGCAAAGGCCCTCATAGGACAAAGAATGTCAATCATTTTGCCAGGTTCTGATCAAGGAGTCATGAAAAAAAAAAGAGTTACCACGATCAC